GGATTGACTCAATTTGTAGTTGAGAGTTATTCTCCGCGAAGTTGCTGGCTTTTGACATGCGTTCAAAAAGTCCATGGAAAAGCTTGTTTATCAAGACAATGTTTGAAACGGCCAATCATAACAATCAAAAGCGCAAGAACATTCTCTTTCAGATCGTACTACTGAGACGTCAAGAGAACGCAGTTGAATTCGCTAATCAGATCATAATGAACCCATCAGTGGGTGTGGGGGCAAATAGTACCCACGCTGATAATTTCCGGACATACCTACTTTATTGCATTATAAGTCGACACAACCATTCACTGATTAGTAATTGCGCTTGCCTTTTTGTGCAAAGGATCAGATCGAGATACATTCCACGTTTTATGTAGTCGCGGAATGTATCTTGTTCCCAATGCTTTCATCTGCTGAAGTAGTCTGGTAGCTATCATTCTCTTCCAAAGAGATCATAGTTTGGTTACTCTCTGCATTTGGTCGTGTGGTTTGTGAATATAGGACGCAGGATGCCTTCTGTTTTTGTCTTGCATTCTTTTTTCATTCTTAGTTGACTACTTTCTTTATATTAGTGTTTTTTACTATTCCTCTGTCGTGATATTGTGACTATCCTAAGAGGGATCGCTCCTCGATGACCTACTGATCCTAAAGTGTACGTGTTTCGGCACTTCTCTAATGTAACATTTTTGCAGGATCTTACGGACGAGTTCGTCGCTCCGGCATTGGCAGGGATGAAAAAGACTTCGCGGTAGAGCAAGTATTTTACAAGAGTAAGGACAAAACTAAAGTTAGTTAGGCTGTCCCAACTTGCATTGAATTGACCTATAAGTAATGGCGTGTTTTCAGTAGAAAACTTCGCGGTAAAAATAGAAAGTTCCGCCTTCAAGTTTCATACTGTTTTGCAGAAAATTTCTTGCGTTATATGGCATTCTCTTAGTTTTTTTTGGAGATTCTGCTTTGTTTTAATATTCAAGCTCTCAAACTCAGGTGTCAGGTCAGCGAAATTGAGCGCATTGGCTGCCTATCTTTTTTGTTTCTAATTAATAAGCTAAAACCGCACAGGCGCATTTGTTGAGAAGAAGTCGTGGAGCTATTCTTTTAGACGTCTTATAAGGGCTCAAGCGGTCCGAAGATTTCAATTTCGACCTCAAGTACAACCATCGAGCCTAGGTGGGTAGGTTTCTCCACCCGCGAGGGGCCGCATGCATATTCACGAGAACCGAATTTTCAATCGCTTAAACAAATTCCAAGGTGTCATAGGAAGCGCTTTCCCTTGGTCGTACATATAACAAGATTCGAGCTTCTTCTGTAATTTGAGAGCTGAGATGCGCAGAACGTTGTTCTCCAAAACCCCCATTTGTATCGTCCTGAAATTCCATTTCAGTGAAACTAAACGAAACATTGTCTATCGAAGAGTATAGAGCACATAGAAAACGACCCTTACTTTTCACATGAAAATTTGTGTAAGAGAAAACGCCATTACTCACATATGAGCTAACCCAATCAATGTACAAACCTCCGATTTCTCAGCCTTTTAGATCCCCATGTATATCATTTCATTGAAAGGAGCGTCAAGGAACGGTGACAGCCCAACAATACTGAAAGGCTATGGAGGTCAGCAACTCCAGTACCAAAACTTTGCCTGGGAATTGAAGAAACTTTTACAGGATTTGGTTTCTCTATGATGCCGAGATTTGACCTTGATCAACTTTTCTTCGTCAGACACTTTGGTGGTTACATTGCATGGGCTAATCTTCGTGGCGGAGGGTGAACAATTAATTTCTTCTATGTTCCCATAAGTCTTCTGCTTGTGCCATAGATGGTGCCTTAACATGTTGACGACATTATGAGCCACCGGTGGCTCATAAGCCAGTGAACACGTGGGACTTCGTTCAACATTCGTGATACGTTCCACGAGGGACAATATGAGCCACCGGTGGCTCATAGCGGACGCATGCGAAAACACGCCGTTGTCCCACGCGGCGCTTTCCAGCCAAACGCGATTGTCGTCAACGTGTTAACGTTTAATGCATGCATTATTTGTGATCAAATCGCTGTGGGATTGTGACTCGGTGATAAGATTGGGAACTGAATTCTCATCTTTTAACACGCTGGGGATACGCTGGGCGCCCGAATGCTGAAAGGCTTTCTTGGATGTTGCGTCTCAAACTTGGGATGCAGTATGAGTGTGAGATTATTTCTGGCACGTTCCTAACTCCCAACAATCACCCCTTATAATAAAGCTAATGGTGCCTGTGACGCAAGTGATTAATGTTAGTTTTTACCCAGGAGATGCACGAAAGTGGTTCTTGAGGCAAAACTATCAACTTTCAGATACATAGGGCCGGGTGCGAAGCTATAGATCACTTCAAATTCGCTATCCATAAATCAGTTACAAATGGATGACGCCCTTATTGTAATCTTTCGTGTCACCGACTCTTCTTACAAAGACATTCACATAAGTGAAAAGAGAACCCGTTCTTCAACTGAGAAAGGTACTCGTCTCGGAGACAGTTTCTGTGATCAATTATCATGGATTAGCGGTGTTCAGTTATGCACCGCAGCTGTCAAGTGATTCCTCAAAGAAGAAAATGGTGGAGGATCTCCAAGAACACCATGAACAACTCGCTTTCTGACAGTCACACAGCCCCATTGTACGTGTTCTTTGAACTTAGTGGTCCCTGTGCGCCCCTGAGTCACAAATCGCTTTTTCGCATCTACAGTACTAAATGCTACCCAATGCAAAGAAAAGAAAAGGAAGTGCAACACTGGAGCGAAACTCGCAACCGAAAGTAGTTTCGAAAACTTTGTTTGCGACGGATTACGGTGGCAATGCACATGGAGCACTTCTGTCAACCAAGCTCCACCACTTGTGATTCGAACAGGTACCTTACCTTGCGTGGTGGATTGCTGTTAACTGTATGTGCGCCTAATAAAGAACGTGATAGAGGAGAGTAGAATTACTCATAAGCACGAACGCTGTCGGCAGAAGTGGACCCGCAGCCAGGATTTATGCACACCGCTCCAACAAACATATGGCACAGATGGAGGATGGCCATCCTGCAACTGTGCGGTACCATCCAATTGTCGACATGGTCGCCAAGGGACAGGCAGTATACACTGACAGTGATGGTCCATTCCAAGCCAAATTTTGTGAGCTCCAGCTCGAAGTTCATCGTCGCTCATCTCAATGTCAGGTCCAAGCTGGTCGTATTACTGGTCCACATGCTTTGTAGTTCAAGGGCACTGTCCAACGGCAGTGTTTGCGACACTAAGATGAGGCAAGAAGATCCTTAACGATCATCGTGTTGCTGTGGGATCCCGTAAGGATTTTTAAGCATAGATTCAGCACGCACACAAGAGTCGAACAGAGGCTGTTGTGCCACCACCGCCACACCATTGCTTGCTTGTCAGTACATAAAAGAGCTCAGGCAGTGATTGAGAACTAGTGAAAGCTAGGTCCTCATCTCGAGCGATACAAACAAATGTGGTTGACAGCAGAAGCTGCAACGGCGTACTCCACTATGGATCTCTGCTGACTAGCTTCCCGTGGAAGCGAGCAAATGCAACACCAAACCACAGAAAGGGACCGACGCATTCCTTCAGAACAACCGAGAAGGGCAAAATAACCAATTTCCACACAACATCGCTCGTATGTGTCGAAGACGATCCATCAGACCATCCAGGAACCTGGTTGGGAATTGCTGCTCCGTCCGCACGGATTTAGTCTTCTTCGATCACCGTATGCCTCAGAGTACATCATGCGTTGGCGGTTCTGGTCGAGTCTGTACGACCTCTTTCACCCATCCACGTCGTACGAATGCCTGTCCACGCTAGAGGTGTTCACAGGGTTCAGAGAGATCCCTATCCTATCAACGCATTTGTTACGTTCTTCTGTTCAGTCAGCTACATACCTACGCATAATGTCAACTTAAAGGCAGTTGGCACGATAAATCGCTATACAGATGTAGGATTTATACGACTGGCTTAACAGAATTCCGTGACCTCGGACAGGCGCTCCGTGGCGCCTTTTCCAAGGAGTACCCCTATAACGCCCTATCGAGCAACAACATTCCGTCCCAAACGCCTTCCTCGCCCGCCCGCCCACAAACGGACGACCGTTCCTGACGCTCGTATTCATTCATTTGCTGAAGCAAATTATGAAGCGAAGGGATTGGTATGAAGCGGCCGTGATGCTGCATGCATACATGGGTACACATATGCAGCCGTATCTTCGGTAGCGGTGATTGGCAAGATGCGTACGGGAAACTCGTCCGAAATCGATTTTCAAGTCACTGAGAACGGAGGCTTTTTCTTCGCCGGATTTTGACCGTTTCACTCCGTTCTTTCGCCATTTCCCCACTACATAGCGCCCTACTAGCATTTTAGGCCGAGTGGGAAACCATCGTGCCAACTGCCTTTAATAATACTATTACTTGATCATTTTAATTTTTCGTAGGCTGCTGACACCTTTGCGCTGTTTGGCGTTGACTGCCCCTCTCCTGACGACCCCCATCCCCACCTCAACGGTCAAACACGACCACCCCCCCCCCGACTTCGGGGAATCCCCAACAATGTGCCGTAGTCTGCTTCAAGTCCCAAAATACGTCTAAACTGATGAAAAAAAATTGGTGAGCTATTAGATGCTGACTTTTTGAATATAAGTGCCATTTTGATGCTGGAGCCAGTGTGAGGGCAGGGCTGGGTTTTGTGCGGCACCGGCCCGTTCTCGACTAGTTATTGTCGCTGGCTCGCTTCGGTAGTTGGTAGGAGAAGGGCTTGGCTCCACGCCGATCTCTGCCCTTTGACACGAACCAGCACAGCAGCTTCCTTGCATCCAACATCACATAAACGGATCCCTTAAACAACAATTTGTTATTTTAAAGCTTGTACCGGAGTTACTCTCGGAGGAAAAGCAAACAATATCCTTTTTTAGGTAGTGGTCGGAAGGATGGAAGGCTTGATAGTTTCTGCATTGTTACTGAGTGCTATATTTGATTCTCATGATGTTCAGTGAATACGGCGAGAATTGGCATCGGGCAGGAATGAGAGAGAAGAAGCAGAACGTTTTTGATGATTTCATTGCAGCAGCTGAATATTTGATCAAGAACAACTACACGAATAGTAAAAGGTGAGAGTAATAAGTATTGTAATAACAATAAACTGTTTTCTGAGATCCAGCCATGTTGAAGCGAAGGCCACAACGGAGACCCATCACAACAGGTGGATCGCGTAGATCGCGCTTTCCCCGTCAAAATACGAAATTCGCGCCCTTCAAGCAAGATAGCCAAGGTGCCAGACCGCTATATCTATACGAGGTCGAGTAAGATTATGGCAGCACCCTTTCTTGTTTCCTCGGCTCGACTTCCTACTCTCTTCCACGGCTTCATCTCCCAGCAGCTGTGCTGAGTGTCTTCGCACGGGGTGCAATCATTTCCTACAGTAGTCCGCCACTGTAGAACTTCAGTTGATCTCTTACTCGTTGATTTTTGCAGAAGAAGCTGTTAGTTGATCTTTTAAGCCTACTGCACAGCAATGATCGTCAATCATACAAAGGCTGAGCCCAGCAGTCTACGGCTTCACAGCCACTAACTTTGAAGCTAAAGCATTACTCATCTGTTGCTTTCGCCTATTGTCTTTTTTCAGTTTCTCATACATCTTGTCCTACGAGATAGGTCGTCCCGGTTATCTGGAAGCATGAAGGCAGCGTTCAGACTTCGCGACGGCAGCGCCTCGGTCGCGCGTTCGGCGCGATCGATGCGCATGCTTTCGACTGCATCGATCGCGTCGAACGCGCGACCGAAGCGCTGCCGTCGCGAAGTCTGAACGCTGCCTAACACGTACATACATCCATTTTGCGCAAAAATTTCCAGTTTTCGCGCTAGACCTTCCTGCACTAGGTGAATAAATATGATGTTGGTACTAAACGATTCAACAAAACTAGGAGCGTAATTCATGAATGCACTGTAGTTGCTCGAATAAAGATGATCAGAGATTTTGATGCTTTTCTTTATAATCGCTGGTGATGGATCTCGTTCTTCAAAGAAAGTGGAAATAAAAGTAATACACCAATACCATCAACGGGTGTTGCTCCTTACTGATTAGATACGTGTTCCAGGCTGGCTATTCAGGGTGGCTCAAATGGTGGATTACTGGTGGCAGTTTGTTCGCAGCAACGTCCCGAGCTGTACGGAGCTGTAATAAACCAAGTTGGGTAGGTGCTTCTAGTTGATGGCTCTGTTGTAAGCTGTCATCTTCAATGATGTTGCCCTCTCACGTCGCTATGGTGGAGGCAGGACAGATCGACAGCGAATCCCTAAAGGAGAGTAGAACAGACTTATTTGTTGCGCACGCTGAAGGGGCTGGGTATGGCGAAGCATCAGCTTGGTTTCCGCAGATTGTCTGGGGTTCAAGCGCCGACAAAAGGAAAGGAAAGGACTAGTGCCGCGTCAAACCGCGGCCCCTGACGCGCCCCAGCATACGCAGCGAACAAGATTATAGTTGACCGCTAGGCGAGGGATTGGCGTTTAGCGTAGAAGTCAGTGAGTAGTGAAGAATTAGAAAAAGAAAGGCAGTGATGTTGGGGAAGGTTCTGAATCTCTGTATCGATTAGGCCTACATGGGCAAGTTTTCTTTAAAAGTTACAGCTTTCAACTAGCCCAGGGGGATCTGATGCATGGCCTACAGCAGACGAAATAAAGCAATGTCGATTCCTTCAACGTGACGACTCCAGTACAGAAGGATCGAATTATTCGAGCTGCTCGAAGTTTCTAGATTTTGGTCATTTAGGAGAGCGGCCCAGAAGATTAGGTCTTTGGAAGAAAGCGTCTTGTTCTTCTAGTGGCTTGCTCGTAGAAGATTTGCGCTTGAGGTAACGGTATGTTGTCAAGCACTGAAAAGCTTGGTATATAAGGAACTCAATTGTCCAGAACATTTTCAACATAAGATATTTCCGAATGGAAGTATCCGAAAATTTGCTTACTCCACTACTGATGGAAGAGCTGTGGTTTGTACAACAAAGAGGTGCTTTTCAAATCCGAACTAATCCGAAAAATATTTCTCTTAAGAGTAGTACGAGAAAACAGTGCTTCGTGCAAAGTGACAACATTCTACACTTTTAGGTAGAGCTCAGTTTTTCCAGCCACGAATACCACCCTTTTTTCGGGAGCTGATCGTGATGTGATCGTTTTCCAAAGCCTCACCCGTGTCCTGAACAAAATCTGTGTTGCGTCACTTCATCACTGCTTCTTTCATTGTTGCTATGCTGCCTAAGGTCGAAATCGAGCTGAAATTTCTTCGAAAGTGAAAGACTTTAAGTTCTTTTATTGACTCTTAAATAAATTTGCAGTGTCCTGGACATGCTACGCTACCACAAGTTCACGGTCGGTGCATCATGGTTAGATGAGTACGGTAATCCCGATGTAGAGAAGGACTTCAAATTCATCTTCAAGTCAGTTTTCTTGCTATCACTAACAAGAGGGTTCTTCAGGTCATGGAGCACTTCGCAAAACAGACTTTTGAACGCTGTAGGGGTTACACATTGATCACAGACAGGGCAAAGCCACTTATTGCTGAAATTTTGGATGAATGTCGGCTCCCTCGAATCTTGCTCCTGTGCTACTCTCTTCTAATATATTGGGTTGGCCCATAAGTGAAGGCGTTTTTTCTTTTTTAAAAATCGCGCTAAACGTGGAATGGCTTGCCACTGAATTTCATACTGTTATGCAGAGAAATTCTCGCCCTATACGGCAGTCCTCTTAGTTCTATTAAATTTTCCGTCTCCATTAATATTCAAGTGCTCGAACAGGAGTGTCAGGTAAACGAAGTTGAGCATTTTCGAGAGCCTCTCTTTTTACTTCTAATTAAAAAGCTAAAACCGCACAGGCATGGTTGCTAAGTATTATAAATAGCCAAAGGCTGTGCCTCTTAGCCTCAGAGCCGCTTCTGCTTCCCTGTACGGCTGCCTTCTGAATGGGGTTCGTA